AGAATAAACCAGATTCCAGTGGAGGAGAAAATCAGGAAGAAGCGGTGGAAGTGGATAGGACGCACACTACGAAAAGCACCCAACTGTGTTACAAGAGAAGCTCTTCCTTGAAATCCTCAAGACCATAGGAAAAGAGGAAGGCCAAGAAACACATTATGCTGAGAATTGGTGACAGATATGAGAAGAATGAACGAAAATTGGACAGAACTGGAAAGGGAAACCCAGGACAGAGTAGGTAGGAGAATACTGGTCGCCGGCCTATGCTCCGTTGGGGGGTAGCAGGCGTAAGTAAATGAGTAATTCAGTCAGTAACATTTATCCACAAAACCAGTAACCTCTTTTCACTTAAGTTTCAGTGTCAGTTTCAATATCTGTTACCCGTTTTCGAGCATAGATCATCAACCAGGATTCTCTAACCAACCTTATCTAGGATCATTCCTTCCAGTTGTTTCCAAGTACTATCTCCTTTCAAATATCGACGCAACCGGTTCTTATATCCATTCATCAATCCTCATAAATCATAGAGTACCTATCAAAAATCATCACTCAACTCAGTATTGGACTTTCAAATTTTAATCCAACTACACATACTTATCATGAACAAAGTTGTACGCCACCCAAATGCATCGGACTAATGGTTAACGCTGAAGCCTAGTATATTTACCGCTAAGCCAGCGCGTGCATGCAGTCCAGCACGAAGCCAGGTGTATGCAAGGCACCAAACCCATAAATGACAAGCCAGATCGAGCCGCTCAAACAATGTAAAGTGTTTGAAAGGGGAACAAAGAGTTTTGTAGTTTTCTGATTGAAGTACAAACCATTCGCTATGAAGTTGCATATTTGTTACGAATACACGCAAAAACGTCATTTGATATGCTTGAATTATTACGAGTTTACCTTAATCGGAAAACGAGAGCGAGGATCGAGGATCCGGGGACACGACATGTTACTCTAATCCGATTGTCCCCAACCCCCATTGAGTAAAAGGAGAAGACTTGATATGAATTAGAACTTGTATTCTACAAACATCCAGAAAGTACGAGGTTCGAGTCCAGAAGAGAATCAGGATCCCTGACTAGGGATCCGGATCCGTGTCCAGATCATAAAACATTACAGACAATGCATATTTATACAGTTCGGTCGAATAGGAAACAACACTGAAGTCTGTGACTTTGACAGTCAGGACGATCAATAAAAAACAACATTGAAGTACGTGACAATGATAATACTAGAATAAAACTACTGTTTCAGTGTACTTCCTGGTGGTTGGTATTTTAATAGTTTATCTAACCTAAATTTATTATTTCATATTGTGTAGACTTTTATGAAATAATAATCACTCTATGCACAATTTCATCATTCACATGGTTTATTAATTAATAAGTAAAGAGTTGTTGTCAGTTTTGTTAACATTATTAGTTAAATCGAATGTTAATTAGTTTATCAGTTCACGTGATCATTAAATTGGCGCGTAGATAGTCAACTGATCACGTGTCAATCAATAAACTGTGTGACATTTATTTGTGCATTGATGTGTTGAATATGTATACATAGAATGTATAACCGAATCATATGGGAGAGTGTATGCTGTCCAATGAAACCTAACAATCTACACAACCCTCATACTGACATTGATCATGTGCTTACTACGGACTAGCTTCGTGTGAAAAATCTCAGGATTCAAGTGAGAAGCAGTGATCAACGGAGTTCAAACGTATCAGGTGTGAGGTAGTTACATTACCGTAGACAATGGATGATTCCTTGCTTACTTATGACTGTTACCCTCAATCGAGCATAGGCTGCTAACCAGAATTCCTCAACCTTATTCTGTCTTGAGACTTCCTTTCTAGTTCTGTTCATTCGTTGCATTTCTGTCTCCGTTTCTCGGCGTAATGTGTTTCTTAGCCTTCCACTTTTCGGTTGGCCTTGAGAATTGTTACTGTGTGCTTGTCTTGTGATGCAGTTAAGTGCTTTCCTCAGTGTGTATTACCTATCCACTTTCAGAGCTTCATCCTGATTTCTTCGTCTACTGGAATCTGGCTTGTTTGCTCCTAACTCCGCCTAGAGCTCCTCTGGGGCTACTGCAGGTCGCAAACTCGGAGATTTGAGTTTGGTTGAGCATGGGATCGGCGAGCTTATCCCGTAGAAAACTAACTCACTGGAAAAAAGCGTTGACCAGAAAAAATAAATTCAAATCATTTAAACTCTAATCTGAGAGTTAGAAGGTCTTCATTCACAAAAGAGTCCCTTCTGACAACCAGAACAAACATCAATATACATACATGGAATGCTTGCACAATATGAGAGACAATGGATAATGATCGTGCTATAATATGGATTGATCGAAGTCAGACGTTAAGAACCTTCGATTTAAAATCAACAGTTTAATGTTTAGGCACGTGCATATGCGAGACCGAAGGTCTGTGATTCAATGTTGATAAAATGTACAATACTGATGAGTTTCATACTCGCGAAAAAATATCCGTTCAATGCTTCTGTAGTGAAGGAGAACACAGGTGAGAGCAACCGAATTGTATTTAACGAAAATTACAGAGTTACTCAGTAAAATCCGAAAACCATATCGTAAATCATTAATTTGCAAAATATCAGTTCATCATATCGAACTGGACTGTTCCTGTTGCAAGCAACATCAATCCATTGTCACTCACTATTCATTCGTTTCATACAAATTCCATTGTGTTCCCACTCTTCCTCCCTTTCTTGATCTTCCCCCCTATCTTCTGCTGCCAGACATTACGTTGACACTCACGTCATATACTACTTATAAGTAGCTCACACCACACTTCCAGTTATTCAATGACGGCCTAACATTGATCCATTCATAGTTTCAATAAAAACTTAACAATCCCCACAACCTTCATATTAACAAAAAAGAAACTATTCCCAATTAAAAATTAACAGTTCCCATAAATTTTCCTTTCCTTATATGTTAATCAATAATAATCGTACGAATAGATAACTAATTATATGATTACCTTCTTACGTCGTAGTATATTTGTGTGGTCTACTGATTTTTTACTTTTAAAACACTTACAGTAAGTCATCATATATCAATATCAATAGGGCAGGAATACAATAAACTGTGTTAAGTCATACAATAATATATTAACATTCTATCATGTAGGTAAAATAGAATATTAATAAATGAAGTGTGAGAATACAAATGTTATAGGTCATCGGTGATTTATTCAAGTGAGGATTTATAATCCTCACTTTCTTCAATTTCTTGATATCCACTAAAAATAATTAGTGAACATGCTAACTATGATGAGTCCCAAATGGGACGAAACATGCATCCCATGCTAATTACTATTTATCTCTGTTTGTATTTTCTATGAATTTTTTCTTGAAATTGAATTCTTTTTACTTTCATAGTTGACAATACGAACTGATGTGTGTACTAGGTCACTTTTAGAAACCTAAAAGCATTGGTTACCTGTTTCATCCTAGTATACAAATCATAAGCAGTATTCATCTATGACTGTTGCAAGGAAAAATGGAACAAACGACTTTCAATCTCATACATGAACACTTGACCTATAGGACATTCACTCTACATCGAACGATCTTATGTAACCTTCATCCATCCACTGTAGCACATGACTATCTCCTACCGGACATGAATAGAACTCCACCGGTTCTTTTAACAGCTATCCTAATGTTTTGAAATCTAGACTTATGAAAAGAGAAAAATGTTGGATTCATATTAGCAAACACTATTCTTGGCAATTAATAATCACAATTTATATGTTCACAAAACATATTAGACTGAACGCAAAATAAAAATCATTGTGTATAATGTATTTGTGTGGTGGTGTTTCGTCGTCTGAGCTGGATGTTTTGGTTGTGGAGTTTCCATTGTTCTTCTGAACTACATCATCAATGAAATCGTGAATCAATTATCCTTAGTCCACCATTTAAAACCCAAGGGCACCGAACAGCCGTTTCATCCTGGTATGGGACTTTGCAACAGTGCTCACCCACAACCCTCCCTCACGAGAATCAAACCCAGGACCTTCAGTATCACGCGCAAACGCCTAATCTCTAGAACACTGACCCGGCATCGAATGGTGTTAATAAATAACTTTGATTAATCTAAGGATTTTGTGCAACCTAACATATTTTCTTAAGTAGTCACTGCCTACGCTCGAGATGGATGAACTCCACTGGTCATGGCTTATCAACAGAACTCCGAGAATTTCCTCATGATTTCCGACTCAGTCGTCTAGAAACTAGGCGTTTGCTCACGGGAATGGAGGTGGTGACTGCGTACTGCTGAAGAGTCCCATACTAGGACGAAACGGCCGTCTTTCAGTGATTACAGGTTTCGAATAATGGTCTCATAATGACCAATCCACGATTTTAAGAGTTAAACAATTGAATGTAACTGCAGTAATCGAACCTCAGCCTGTAGTCCTTCTGTGCGTTACTACCAGTTCTAAGCCCGGATAAAAGAAGAGGGTTGGGCATTAGGGTTAACGACACCATCCAGTAGAAAATCTACACGCTACATAAAAACTCTAACAAGAAAAAAATACTGGTCGGCGGTTTGCGCTCAATGAGGCGTAAGTAAGTATGCAGACAGTAACCGTGATCACCGAGCAAGATAGAGAGAAGAGAATTATTTATTCATTGTAAAAGAATATATAGAAAGTTTCCTTTTTCTCTTCTCTCAAATGAATATTTGACAAATTGCCAATAAAAAAATTTGACTGATTTATTATCTATCCGAAATGCTGAATCATTTGTCTAAAAAATGAGAGAAAATATTCATACTAATAATATATTTCAGTAGACTGAAACACATTGGACATTGAAGGAATAGGTCATGCAACAAGTCTGCAGTTTTACATTGATATTTTTGTTTAGAAAAAAATAAATACTCGTTTGTTCAATTTAAAAATATCATATTTCTATAGTTTATATATATATATATTCTTTGTTTAAATGAAATCGTTTTGTTTTAAACAAAACTACTGATGACTAATCTAGAGAAATCTGATACTAAAGATGTACGTTTTTAGTCTGGTTTTTTTCTGTGAAGTGAATGCTCATGACCAGCTAACAGACTCGTTCGAGGTGAAGACTGGTGTCAGGCAAGGTTGCTTACTCTCATGCTTTCTCTTTCCCCTAGTGATCGACTGGATTATGGAGACGTCGGCATCTGCGGGGAAGCGCCGTATTCAATGGACAGCTAGGATGCAGCTGGACGATCTGGACTTCGCAGATGACGTGGCTCTTCTATCGCACACACGCAACAACAAACGCAAGAGAAGACGACCAGTGTAGCAGCAGCTTCTGCATCAGCAGGACTCAACATACATAAAGGAAAAAGCGAAATTCTCTGATGCAACACAACATGCACCAACAAAATCACTCTTGATGGAGATGACTTGGAGGACGTTAACACCTTTACATATCGCCACAGCATCATCGACAATCAAGGTGGATCCGATGCAGATGTGAGGGCGCAGATTGGCAAAGCAAGGGCTTCATTTCTACAACTGAAAAATATCTGGAACTCCAAACAACTTTCAACCAAAATCAAAATCACGATTTTCAATACAAATGTCAAAGTAGTTCTACTGTATGGAGCGGAAACATGGAGAACTACCAAAGCCATCATCCACAAGATACAAGTATTTATGAACAGTTGTCGGATTCGTTGGCCAGACACGATCAACAACAACGTACTGTGGGAGAGAACAAACCAGATTCTAGTGGAGGAGGAAATCAGGAAGAAACGGTGGACGTGGATAGGACACACACTACGAAAAGCACCTAACTGCCTCACAAGACAAGCCCTCACATGGAACCCTCAAGGCAAAAGGAAAAGTGGAAGGCCAAGGAACACATTACGCCAAGAAATAGAGAAAGATATGAGAGGAATGAACAAACATTGGACAGAACTGGAGAGGGAAGCCCATGACAGAGTTGGTCTGAGAAAACTGGTGCCGGCGGCCTATGCTCCATTGGGGGTAACAGGCGTAAGTAAGTAAGTAAGAATGCTCATGACACGAAACAAATATTTTAGTCATGAAAAATATATTGACAAAGGTCAGTAGTGTCTAGCGGTGCAATCTAGAAGGATCCGTTGGTCAGACACCATTGTCAACAACCTAATACTGTAGGGCAGAACTGAGGAAGAAATCAGGAAAAAGTGCTTGAGATGGACAGGAAACACATTGAGGAAATCATTCAACTGCATTACAAGACAGCCTTCACTTGGAATCCTCAAGGCCAAAGGTTAGGAGGAAGACCAAAGAGCACACTTAGACATGAAAAGAATGAACAACGACCGGGTGGAACTGGAAAGGACAGCCCATGACAAAGTAGGCTGGCTAATGATGGTGGGCTGCCTATACACCATTGAGAGAACCAGGTGTAAGTTAGCTGGATGTACTTGTCACATCCTAGTGTTGATATTCATTCCGGTCATGCACCATGAACTCCAAAATGCCAGCCCACTATCCAGCTCTGTTAACAATACTTTTAATCGAAAGTCAATATCGATGCAATTCGAATAGAATGTACTTATGCCAAACGACACGGATCAATTACAGTGTTACACATCGTTGTTAAGGTTCAAACAATAATGCAAATGAATAGGTTTTTCCAAGTTGAAAACTCATAATTAAGGTTCGAAATTTAATGATTTAATCCGTTAATTCTCTAATGATTTTGGATCGCAGTATCCTTGCTTACTTACTTACTTACTTATGCCTTTTGCCCCCAAAAGAGCATAGGACGCCGACCAACATTCTCCAACCTACTTTGCCTTCGGTTTACATTTCTAGTTCTGTCCAGTTTTGTCATTCTTTGTCATATCTCCATTTCTCGGTGTAATGTGTTTTCTTGGTCTTCCTCTCTTCCTTTGGCCTTGAGGATTCCAACTGAGGGTTGTCTTATGATGCTTTTGATCGCTTTCTCCAATATATGTCCTATCCACTTCCAGAGCTTCTTCAAGATTTCTTCTTCCACTGGAATCTGATTTGTTTCACGCTGACAGTAGGCTATTATTGATTGTGTCTGGACAACAGATCCACAGTTTCTTGTGTAGAAAACTATAAATAAACACTTTCATCTTGTAGATGATTTCTTTTGTGGATCTCCAAGTTTCTTCTCCATACAGTAGAACTGGACATTTGCATGGAAAATTTTGATTTTGGTGATGGCTGATAGTGTTTTGAGTTCAAGATTGTTAGGGATGTTAGATCCCCCGGAACTCGATTGATAAATGTCTTTATTTTGGATTTTATTCATGAACCGATCAGTTGACCCTGAGATCACATTTCCCACCAGGAAAATCCTTAACTGTGATTGGTTACTGTGTCATTTATGTGTGCTATTTTGTGACTGTCCCAAGAACGTTTCTATGATGTATAAATAAACGCGATTTGGTGCTGGATTCATTGTGTGCTTGGCTGAGTGTTGTAGAATACACTTCCGACGCTATATCAAGACT